ATGAACAAAAATTAGTTTCAATACACAAAATGAACGTAATATTTGTAAGATTACGTAAAAATAACCTTAAAAATTCAATAAAATGCTTTAACACAAAAAATGCAAAAAAATGCAAAATAAAAATTACATATTTTAAATTGTTATATAACGAAACGAATTAAGTTTTTGGTTAGAATTGTATAACACTTAGAGAAAAAAATTTAAAAATCACCAAAATCTTAGCTCTAATTATAATCAATAACTTATAAATATAACAGGTAACATATTTCATAATGTATATTTCATAATCATAACCTTTACTATTTTTCACTTGAATATAAGATCAATTAGCAAATTTTTCTCAATTATCAATTATGTTAAATAATATTATCCAATTTATTGATTGTATTGTATTAACTGAATGTTGGCTTAACAATTGTGCTTCTAATATAAATATTGAAGGATTTCATACTTATGTAACAAAAAATAATAATTTTAATCAAAACAGCGGTATTGTATTATACGTCAAAGATTGTCATATGATAGAAAAAGTTAATGAAATAATTATAGATAATTGTAATTGTTTAAATTTAAGTATTTGTTGTAATGGGACTCGTCGTGAAATAATTGCTTTATATAGAGGACATAATAATAATTATACAAACTTTGAAACTAAATTAATTGAATTGATTAACAATATTACAAATAATAAAATAATAATAATAGGAGATATCAATATTAATATAGCAGATGATAGTAAAGATGAATTAAAATTAGATTACTTAAACTTGATGGCGAAATTGGGATTTTATAGTTGTATAAATGATTATACTAGAGTTTGTAATAATACCAGCTCAACTATTGACCATATTTTTATTAGAACTAAATATATTGATAGTATTAATCCTATTTTATTAAAATCACTAATAACAGATCATTATAGTACTTTGTTAATAGAAAAAAATGAAGTAAGGAAGGATGGCAACAAATCCAATATTAAATCATATTTAAATATTAAATTCTTTTGTTCTTTATTAGATTCAGAAAGTTGGGAACCTATTATCAACGAAACGAATATCAATAATTGTGCTGATAAATTTCATAAAATATTAAATAACCATATAAATAAAGCCAAAAAACATAAAGAATGTATTATTCCTTCAAATAAACGAAAAATCAAACCATGGATAACATCGGGACTAATTGCTTCAATAAGAGTGAGGGATAAATTAGGAAAAATGACTTTTAAACGATCGAATGATTTTCATTTTTTAAACTATTATAAAAAATATAAAAATAAACTATGTTCATTAATCAGGTACGTAAAAAACGTATACTATAGAAATAAAATAAAAAATAATTCTAATAATATTAAAAAAGTATGGAATATAATTGGAGAAGTAATAAATAGAGATATCAAAAATAAAACAAATATTACACAAATTACTTATAATAATGAATTAATAAATATTAATACTGATATAAACAAATGTGTAAATATATTCAATAATCATTTTATAACTGTAGGAGAAAATATAGCAAAACAAATTAATTATGATAATGGAATGACAGTTAAAACGAACTTAATTAGTCAATGTATTGATAACAATGATAATATAGATAATGGCAAAATAGACTATAAATATTTCAGTGAAGAAGAAATTATAAATATTATTAAAACTTTAAGGCAAGGTGCTTCACCTGGTTTTGATGATATATCTTCAAACTTATTAATAAAAATAGCAAACTATATAATAAAACCAATAACCTATTTAATTAATTTAAGTTTCTCTAGTGGTGAATTTCCAAAAATATACAAGAAAGCAATAATAACTCCATTATACAAATCAGGAGATACATGTGAATTAACTAATTATCGGCCTATCTCCTTAATATCAGCAATAGCAAAGGTAATCGAAAAGTGTGCTAAAATTCAATTAAATAGATTCATTATTAACAAAAATGCCTTAAGTAATAAACAATTCGGTTTCAAAGAAAATATAGGTTGTCAAGAAGCAATAACTTATCTCTCTAATTTAATATATAAATCTTTAGATGCTGGTAGGAGATGTTTGGGTATATTTTTAGATATTACTAAAGCCTTCGATTCTATATCTCATGAACTACTATTGCATAAATTAAAATCAATAATAGGATATAATACATTTTGGCGTTGGTTCAAATCATATCTCTCTAACCGGTTGCAGGCAGTTAAAATTAATGGATTTGAAAGTGATTCATGTAGACTTAAATATGGAATACCTCAAGGGACAGTACTAGGACCTATTTTGTTTTCAATATATATAAATGATCTACTACTATTAAATATAAATGGTAGTATATCTGCATTTGCAGACGATACGGTATTGTTTTTTGAAGGTGATAACTGGAATGAGGTAGAAACAAAAGCTAATATAGGTCTGTCAATTGTAAATAAATGGTTAGCTAATAATAGTTTAATGTTAAATAAAAGTAAATCTGTTTTTATTCCTTTCTGTATATCTAAAACTAATAAACCGGAACACATATCAATAAAATTACACAAGTCTAATTGTAAAGAAAAGCATAAAGCAATATGCCTTTCAAATTGTATTGACATTAGTAGAGCATCGGATGCGAAGTATTTAGGTGTAATTTTTGATGAACATATAAAATGGACTAAACATATAAACATGATAATAATACGATTAAGAAAATGTTTCTACATTTTTAAAGAGCTTAGAAATATTCTAGATATAAATAATCTAAGAATGATATATTTTGCACTAGCACAATCTATAATAACATATGGTATAACAATATGGGGCTCAGCTTATAAAAACGCATTAGAACCACTAATGATAACACATAGAATTTTAGTTAGAATAATTATGAGAAATTATTATTTAGATACTGATAATACGGAAACCTTATTTAAAAAACTTAAAATATTACCTATAAATAAATTATATAATAAATTATCAACAATAAAAATACATGCAAGTAAAAAAGACTATGAAATATTTAATGTATATAATACAAGATATGAATGTAATAATAATCTCAAATTACTTAAATGTAATACTACTTTAATGAAAATTTTTTACATAAATAGAGGAATTGAATTATTTAATAGGTTACCGAATAATATTAAGACTATTAATAATAATAATCTATTTAAATATAAAATAAATAAACTATACATGCAAATTCACGACGAGGCTGAATTATAATTATAATTAATATAATTAATAAGTGTATAAACGCATAAATGCACAAATGTGTGTTAAAAATATATTATTTCATAGAAATAGATATTAATGTAAAATAGAAATAAGAAAAATTATTAATTAATTATAGACTCCCTAATCTCACCACAAGCATCGCTTATAGAGATTAGGTATCAACACAAATTGTATCATATCGAAAATTGTAATTTTATTATTGTTGTTGTTGTTGTTGTTGATTAAATAAAATATACAAATGTTGTAAAAAATAAATTATTAATACTTAATAGGTACATTCATATTGCATATACTCGTAGACATTAGATATTTCATTATTCACTACACTTCTATGGGTCTACAGCATTACTGTAGTAAGTTTACTAAAAATTATACACATGGAAACATGAATAACATTCTCTTGTTAATAAAATATTTTAATATTATTTTCCACCTATCTTTCGCCAACGACCACACCACGTTGAATACACCAGTTCTCGTCCGATCACTGAAGTTAAGCAACGTCGGGCGTAGTTAGTACTTGGATGGGTGACCGCTTGGGAACACTACGTGCCGTTGGCATTTTTTGCTTTATTTTTAATGAATACTTAGAATATTGAATGATGGGATTCATTTTCCAATTGATATATTTTTTTATCCCTGTCATCACCTTTTGCAGTGGTGTAGCCAGAGGGAGGCCGAGGAGGCTGCAGTCCCCCTGAAATGTTAATAAAATTTAAAAATTATTTTAATGGTCTATGGTATTCGATCAAAAACTAAACCACCGCTGTGTACAAAATTGATCAGCCCCCCCCCCGAAAAAAAATCCTGGCTACGCCACTGACCTCTTGGAACATTATAAACTGATATATAGTAGGTAATAAACTAAACTATTTTCCTACGTGTAAATTAAATGCAATATAGCAATAATATTATAATAATAATGTATTTATGAGCATGTCCAGCGGCGGACCTAGGAGAATTTTATACGGGGTGTACCATAGACCTATTAAGAGGTCTTAAAAGGTCTATGGGGTGTACAGTGCTACGATTTTTATTATTCTACACTTTTATTAAACACAAAAATGAGTAGTAAATAATAGTAGGTACCTAAATAATATATTTTCTTACCGAAAAAAATTAAGGATTACGGTTTAAGGAGGTTGACTGTTGATGGTGCTATAGCTCCAAAGCACTTTCTTCGGCGCTCTTGATCACCATTCACCACTGCAGTGGATGTGTCTATTATCCAATGCCTATGATTATATTCCATCCATGATCTATTTAAGTACGTATATTATGTAGATATTTATATCTGTGATTACCTATAATACAAATATTGTGCAATTGGAAGTTGAAACTATATATAACTGTAGTCTGTATTTACAATAATTTAAATACACATATATATATATGTAGATATATATAGATATACCTATATATAGATAGATATTTATATACATATATGTATGCAGATTAATCCTAAAGCAAAAATATTAATTATTATTTAATTTTTTTTTTTTCAATAACCGCGTTTTATTGTTTGAAATTATGAGATCGGCCAGACTGCCAAGGCCAGGCTAGAGGTTCACCATGAAGACAAGAATATAGAAATAAAATATTCTAGTCTTCACTGTTCAGTGTTCAATAGGTTCACAAGAGCATAGAAAAGTGACTTACACCAAAGTCGTAATCACTGAATGCTGGTCGAACTTTCGAATTTCCGAAGCCACGATTATAGTTATATCTACCAAACCGCGGTTCGAAGAGTTCGAGCTGATAGCGACTAGCGAGTCGTTGAGCGTGATAAGGGAATTCGCTTGTCAAAAAATATTATTTTACCGTTGTCTGTTATTAATTATTATCACCAACTGCGGCTGCACGGTCGCACGGATTTTGGACTGAAATTTATCTCCGCGTTAGAATAATACATTTATAATCGTTAAAACTATATGATTTTGATCTAATTCTGATTTATTACGACTTAGTTACCCGTGCGCTTGCGCGTGGGTGTGTTATTGTTTGTTAGTATGCATTTATGCTCGCCATATAACTACAATAGTTAGTTGTCTTTAACAAACACTGTTCTCTGTTCGCTATTCGGCACGATGACGATGGTGTTGACGTCCCGGAGTTAACGTCTGGTTTTGTTCAATTATTTGATGTGCAGACGAATCTGAGGAGATCAAATTCATCGTCTTGGTCTATTCATCCAGCTGTGTCTGTGGTGAAATGCCATCGCATGAAGTCTTACCCCACAGATTGCCAATGTAAAAGACCACCCTCATCTTCAACCATTTACGGTAATGTTTGTATTATGTATTATGTAAAATTGTTATAATTTTGAACTACTGTTTTTTCTGAAGATGATGATAAACGTTTCCGTTACTAATCTCACCAACGATACCGCCTCCACTGCACTAGCGCCAGTCAAGTCTGTGGCAGTTCCACATCCACCTGTCCAGTTCAGTCCACTCACTGTTGTGATCATTGTTATTGTTGCTTGTTTGATGCTAGTTGGTGTAAGTGCACAATAATACTCTCTTCCCCTAGCCTATTTGTTTCAATTACATGACTGTGGTGTTTTTAGGTAATAATTGTAATTAGAAGAAAGAGAAGACTCGACAGGCTGCGGCATTCATTGATACCTTTTTATTCGTTTGATGCTAACGAAGAGGAAGACTGGGATTCAGATCTGTTACAACACGAAGGTGGAACTCAGACCATTCGTGTAAGTGATTTTGGATATTAATATTTTTAATTTTTAATAGAATTAAATACAACCTAAATGTATCGTTCCATTAAAAAATTATTATTAATATATACTTAAGTATTTTTTTATGAATAGTATTAAATAAACTGCAACAACTATGTTTTCTGATCTTGTATATGATTGAAATGTTTGAACAACCTTAAGTTTTATAAATTATTAATAGTCATATAAAATAATTGTTACTGATTATTTGTTCTGTATGAATTTAATGTCAAATATTTTATAAACGTTTAAATACAGAATGACATACTTCTTTACTGTGTTAAGGATTGTATGTATATAATATTATTTACTCCTTATTAGCTGTTGCTGGTATATTATTAGTAATGCTACATTTATGCAAACAATACTGATAATTTACTATTAATTATAACCCGTAGCGTTTAGAATTATGTACATTTTCTATAATCTATATTATGTAGCAGAAATATATTAGAACTTAATCACTTCCAGTTTTAAAACAAAACTACTATATTATGTAAACTGTAAATGTAAATGAATTCATTTTGTATTGAACACAAGTCATTCAGAGCTCAGAGGTTTCTTGATTACAAGTTACTACATACATTACTTTCCTACTAATATTTTATACATTTTCTCTCAACATTTAATTGTTTTACTGTTGTGTATAATGCTTTATTGGATATCTTTTAGCAGCATGGTCAAACATTTAGACACGAGGGCAGTTTCCACAGCTGGCATGAGAGATTTAGTCCGATTCAAAGGTTTTTTTAAACTTTTTTCCAAAAGAATAAATTAATAACAATTGCTTGATATTGTACTGTGTCGAATAACAAAATAATTGATTTTGATTTCATGTATACACATTTTAGTCATCTATTCTCAGTAGAATCACCTATAGTATCTAGATGATAATATTATAGTAAACTATACCTATTCTATTTCTTCTCTAGAAGTACCACTGTAATAGCCTAACTCTATAGTAAGTAGTATAGTTCAATTTCGCTACAATGTACTTGTCTTTATGTATTTGTTATTTCTTAAATGTTTCTATTTGATTACAATAAACACTGTTTGCTTTAATATAATTTAATTGTATGTATTTTCAGTTTGTTATATTCATTCATAATTTATATAGGTAACTATAAATTTTAAAGAAATATATTAATTAAATTTTTTTCATATTTGGTCCATAAGAATTAACTTTACCTTATATTTTATGTCTAAAATAAACAGTGTACAATAAGATGAATTATTCATATAATTTTATCTAAAATGTATCTAACAATAGCTTTTATATAATAATTTAGATGTAGCTAAAATTTTGCAATTTATTGTAATCCAGTGAAACAGTTGTTTGCTTGTAGTTTTGAATTGAGTTTATTTTGGCATCCAGTATCGTCTTTGATTCTACTTAATTGTGAAAATATTATTATTTAAGCCATTTCTTATTGTATATTAATTTTTTGATTGTAATAACTTTCAGAGCTATGGATCGGTCGAACTGAACATCATGGCTAAAGAGATAAGAAGCAAAAAAGGATGATTCTTGTGATGAAAATGTATCTTTTGCTTCTACCATTTGTGTCGTACAATTTTAATATTAGTTATTTGTAAGTTGTACATTGTCTGGTCATGGTACAAGTATAATTTTGCACGTTTCCATCCTTCACAATCCTATTTTCAAATCTAATGACAATCACCGTGTCACTCTAAAATTACAACCATATCCCATTAAGGTTGGGATAGTCTGTTCAAACTATGATCAGGCAATGCTGATGTAAGAGAGTATTTGTGTCTATAGAATTTGTAACTTTTAATGTGGTATTGTTGATGTTGTTGTTGTTGTTATTGTTGGCATTTTTTTAAAATCTACTTAACTGTATAAAATTATATAAATAATAAGTTAACACACATACACACGCCAACCACAAGCTTGATGCTCAATATATTTATATATTTAAGAATATTTATCATTTTATAGCTTTTGGTAGCACCTGCTCATCGTGCTCTCACTGTTTATTTTTATTTTTCATTAGCATATTATAGTTTTGATAATATTTAAGTGTTATGCCTACTTATTGTGTACATGCATTGTTAATTTGAATGAAATTGTGGTCAGTCTTTACATAGCTATAATTGACCTGAATATTTAACTGCAGATAAAAAATACACGTCTTGTACCAATAATTTTTACCATGTCCTAAATGTTGTCAACCGTGTTTGTTAATGAGTTTAACAAACAATAACTGCAAGATTGATTTTTTTTTTATGAAATTTAAATGTATACTCTTAACATTATAAGTCTAAGTTACAATAATTCCATAACATCAATTCATGTCTGATTAAAAATTGTTGTTAGTTAAATAAATATAAAACAGACTGAATTAGTTTATTAGTCACTTATTGTAGGGAGTTGAATCTGCTAAATGTTTTTATAAAAATATGTATTGTGTTGATTAAAATTCACCGTTATTTGCTTATGCCTGTTTACTTTAATTTATATTTAAGTTTGTATTTGTTTCAATTGGTGCTTCTCAGAGCTTGATATACATGATTATGTTCAATGACGCTGATCATATTTTACCTCAGCTATAGGTATTATTATTACTCACCTACAATAACAATAAAATAATGCACAGGGCATTGTCTTATGTGGCTAACTTTTTCTAAAAAAAAGTTGGGGATATTTTGGTATAATAGTATGCACTATGCAGTAAGTAAAAAAGAACAAATCAATGTCAATATTTTAGTAAGCAATTGTGTAACACTGTAATAATTACTTTATAATAGAGTGATGAACAATATAAATCATGACCTTAAGTGCTAAAGTCTAAAACATCAAACTCTATACTCTAAGATACAAGAGTGATAAAGCATACATAATACTTATTGAGTAATGCAAGCTTAATATGTATCTACCTACAAGGTACAATTTGGTAAATCGTGGAAGTAGCTCAGCAGTGTAGTACATAGGTGTGGACTTTACCTCGTTATTGAATAAATCGCTCAATCACTTTAACAGATTTAAATTAATTCAGCTTTTAAATCATTGTAGATAGAAAAAAAACGATTCTGAGTGGAGATAATATGTCACCTTATATTTTATTAATCATTTAATAACTCATTAAAAAATATGCTTGTGTTTCTAATATTTAAATGCCATCTTAATCAATAATCAAATTAAATAATTAAAACAATAGGTGCCTACTTAATATATTAACACGGACCTCTTTGATATAAGAATTTGTATTATTTTATGTATCTTTGGTAGATAAAACCAAACTTAGGTTTTATCATATTGACGAAACATAAATATATAATACAATCCGCCGCGATTGTCAATGTAGTTACAAAAACAATATGGATTAAAGATTCTAAAATTTCAGTTAGCAAAGCAGACATGAACAAGAAACATACTGCGATCCGTACGGTTTTTTCTTCATAATAAATCAGAATATTTTCAGACTTAAATTCAGCTGTAGGTATCTGATATATTCCACAGTGACCCACAATATCGGGGATTCCGCCGAAGCCCAAAAGCGTCGATGTTTAATGTAATTAAGTTTGTTTTCATATTTTTTTCGGGGTTAAGTTTACTTTTAATACTTTGAATAAATATTTAATATCACGAAAAAAATGCTACCCAACACGTGTAGTAGACACTTATTTAAATATTTTATTTCTGAGAGCAAAATTCATAAAATACGAGTTACAAATAATTGTCTTCCTTTTTCCGGTCCCCGATCGTAGGACAATTTTATAATTATAATTTATAACCTATTGGTAAGTACTTGAAATAGATATGAATTACGGCTTAATTTAGATACACCCGTTATAACTGATTACTCATAAGACACAATTTTAATTTATAACTGGTAAATTTTTTAAAAACCAACGTTAGAAGTTATAGGACACTGTTATTAATGTAGTGTTATACATATTTTATTGTTGTATCATATATTTACATTACATTATATCATAGTTATACCAAAAGAGTTACATATTAAATAACTAAGAATAACAATTTATGAACAATTTGTTGTAAATTAAAAATATTATTCGTGGGTACTTGAAACTTTTAAAGTTATTAACCTATATTATTATATTTTAAACACACAATGACTTTTCAAATGTACTTTTTTTGGCAAAAATGAATTTAATCTACTACGTAGTACTAATAACTTACTGGTAAAATAAATTACTTCAATCACAATAATATCATCAAATATTCTAAATTACTAAGTAGTATTATAGACTGACAGATCTTCTTCGCCCAGTATCGTTTTTCGTTTACAATCATTTTTTATATAATTTAATATAGCATTTTCAGTTTAAGTATTTGAAGATTGTAAACTGCAGTCTATAGAGTGTGTTCCATTTCCATATGTATATTTTTTTTTTGATTCTTAAAATGCATTTGCTTGCGGGTACCGTGCTCCAGTTCAAATTTTTTTTTTTTTTTGATTAATTTAATTTTAGTGTTCAAGATACTAGTTTTAATCTTTAATCATGTTTTTTTCAGCGATAATTGTTCAACCATTAGTTAATAACCTAATTAGTAACTATTTTGAAAATTGTTTTTAGTTTAAGAATCTGGAGGTTGTTCTGTGGTTGTACCTACCTAGACTGCATCAGTAACAAAGTTTTTCCTACATTGTTTTTTTAAAAAAAATTTTTGTTCTCTGAACTTCAGAATCTGAAGTGCGTTTTGCTTGCGGTCAACCACGTCCTCTTTCAATTTTTGTATTTAGGTATATAAAAAAAAAGGTAATTGTAAGTTCCCATATAATTTTTAACTTAACTGAGTTAAAAATAAAATTAGGATAAATATTAACTGAAAACATTTTAAAATGATTCAAATCAACAAAAAATTATTATATCTATTTGTTTTTTACATATATTATGTAGGTACATTACATATCTAACTTTAATTTATTGTAATGATTATTAATTTTCCAAAACACAATATTTCAAAAATAAATATCTTATTGATTGGTATATTATTATTTATAAATTATTGAAATAAAATAAACACATACCTTGGACCTACTGATCAATACCTAATAGTATAAACAATTTATAAAATAAAAATGAGCTGAGTTCTAGTAAATAAATAACTCGTCGTGACTAGTGAAGAAATATTACTTTCGGAAGGTATAAAGAGTACACATTATATTGTTTCCGTCAAAAAAGCTCCCACGTAAAAGAGCCCGTGGACCTCTCTCAATTAAATTTTTTGCATAAATAATAAGTTTAATTTTATACATTATTTTATTATAGTGAAGCTAAGTTGATAGAACTCTGATTTTTACTTTTTTCATTAATATAATTATGATTCATTTTTTTACATCAATAAGATATTTGATTAATCATTTGTTAATCAAATAACTACTAGATTTTCAGGTTAATGTATCTAAAGATTGTAGATTGCAGTCTCTATATAGTTGTAGCACAGAATAGATTAATTTAATCTATTCTGTGGTTGTAGCCCATTAAATGTTTTATTTTTATTTTTAAAACATGAATGATTGTAAGCGCCCACGTGAGGTGGGGACCCCAATTTTAGATTCTGGGTGGAACGATGAATGTATTGATTTTACAATGATGTGTATTTTTTTTTATTTTTTTTTTTGTGTTCTGTCATCACCTTTTAGGACAGTAAAACTGCTTCGATTTTCTTCAACAGCAACTTTTCTGATTGGAAAGTGAATGGTACTTTGGGGGGGTCAAAAGTAAAAATTTCCCAGTAGTTTTCAAAAGCGACGTGAAAAACGGGAATTTTTAATAAAATCGATTTTGGTTTTTGGTGTAACTCTAAAACAAATGGCCGTAGATACTTGAAAATTTCACTGAATGTTGATATTAGCATTTTCTAAACACGATATAATTTTGAAAATAATTTGACTCTTTTTGAAATGTTTACGGACATTGTCAATTGTCAATTTTCTTAGTTTTTTTTTCTATAAATACCAATAAAATTTTATTTGTTGGGCGAAAAAGCTTGAAAATTTAATACAATAAGGCTCCTGATATATTTTTATAATAGCAATTGTAAAATATTTAAAATACATAAGCACAATTTTTTTTTATAAGCATTTAAAATTCGAATTTTGACTCAGATATATTGGTATTAATATGTCTTAAACCAAGACTGACATACCGTCTCCACTCAGAATCGTTGTTTCTTATACAATGATATTGTATCATTGAATTCAAATTTAATTCCATCCATTATACAGTGACCCACTTGTAACCTACTGTACAGCAGAGCGACATTCACTTACCCGCTTTTTTTTTTCTTTAATTTTACTCAAATTAATTTTTTTTTAAACATTCTTTTAAGCAATGACCAGCTTTGGATAGGGCACCTCTAATTAACCAATCAAGTATAACCTAATTATTGTAAAGAATGTTACGGGCTTAAGAAAATCTAGATTGTAAACTGCAGTCTTTACAGTTTGTAAATCTGTATTTGTTCCCTATGCACTTAAAAGAAAAATTTTTTTATTCTTAAAATGCATTTGCCTGTGCGCGTCCATGCACCCCTTCCCATTTTTATTTTTTAAATTTAATTCTAGTTGATTTTTTTGCTAACGTTTTTTTGAACTTTGATAACCACCTACTAGCTAGTGTCTTCTAAATAATCATTGTTAAGTAAACTAATTAATTTGAATAGCATTTTTGGTTTAGGCATTTAGAGATTGTAAACTGCAGTCTTAAATGTTTTTTTTTAATATTAAAGAAAAAGCCTCGACAATGTGACCATTGGCTTGTTTTACATAATATGGTCGAAAATAATTTAAATTAAATTGTAAAATTTAAAGTCTTTCATAAATAAAATTATATTTTTGATGTATTCTTCGTCGGAGCACAGTGCTTCGTGATGGTGTTCAGATATATTGTGTTTTTGTTGGACCTCTTTCGTGTTTCTACATTCGGCGATGCTACGTTTGATCGAAGTTGAATATCCGCATGTGAGACATGTTTTTGGCGACTTTTTTCCATTTGGCCATGTGTGTGATGTGTATGACCTATTCTGAGGCGATTTAAAGCAACTTTGTCTCTTCTTTTGAGAGACATTGCCACATTGGGTTATTCCATTTTTCTGTTGTTCTTTTCATTTCGGTTAATTTAGTTTTGCCATTTATTTTTAATTTGGTTGTAGATCACTTTTTTATCTTTGTTAGATTTTATATTCCATAGGGTTCGTTGATTTGGGTTATTGGCTTTTTCCTTGGCAAGTATGTCCACTCTTTCATTACCAGTTATTCCTCAGTGTCCATGAATCCATGAAAAGATGATGTTATTGGAAAATATGTATTAGTCAAGTTGATTATTTCATTAATTTTAACATAATTGATATTACTAAGGCTAAAGTAAAAATAAAGTGCTCATGGAGTCCGTTAAAACTATGTACTTTTTTAATTCTTCAAATGCATTTGCGCCCGCAGCAGGGGCGTGCTCACGGGGGGGGGGATGAGGGTGTCATATCCCCCCCATGAACTTTTTTTTATGCGTAATTTATAGTTCTTCGATAGTTTCGGTTTACTCAGAAAAAAATAGTAGTGTGTAGGTAGTTAGTTCATCCTCCCCCCTCCATACGAAAAAGCTGAGCACGCCACTGGCCCGCAGGCTAATATTTGTCAATTTTGGAATTTTTGGGGATTAACATGGGTCAATCATATATTCATATTTCATTCTATGAGAAAAACTATTGTTTATACCTAACTTTTAATGAGTGAATTTGACCGATTTTTGATAGAAAATTTTTTTTTGCAAATTTGTATTTAATTCTAGGCCATTACTGCAAGTTTACTAAAAATTACACATGAAAACATGAAAACATTCTATTGTTTTTCTATTTAAATATTATTATTTTCCACCTGTCTTTCGCCAACGACCATACCACGTTGAATACACCAGTTCTCGTCCGATCACTGAAGTTAAGCAACGTCGGGCGTAGTTAGTACTTGGATGGGTGACCGCTTGGGAACACTACGTGCCGTTGGCATTTTTTTAACATTTTATATTTTAATTCTGAGCGAAACGAACCTTCTTGGGACACTAAAAATGTTTTGATTTTCTTCAACTGCATCTTTCCCGTTGAAAAGTAAAATTATTTGGTACTTTGGAGGGAAGGGTCAAAAGTAAAAAACTTCCAATTGTTTAAAAAAGTGTCAGCAAAAACTCAGAATCTTACGCAAAACCAGTTTTTGAAAAAATCAATTTTATGTTCTTTTATAACTCTGTATTCTCACTGAATATTCATATTTGCAATTTCTATGCACCACGCCACCACTTCTTTTCATCTTTTTTAGGAGTCAAGTTGTATCAGTTTATTTTTAATTATTGTCAACACACATTTTTTGGCTCGGTCAATAACTTTAAAACATAATACAACATTCCTCGTAAAGTCGTAAGTTGTTGTGAGTGGAAATTAAAAAAAAAGTTGAGCGTAAATCCACTAATCCACAATAATTTTATTGTTTTATCTATGAGCGTCTTAAGTTTGACAATGACGTTTTTTCTGCAAAAATTAAATACCTACTGTAGTATGTACTAATGGCTAATAGTAAAATAAATTTCTTCTATCACAATAACATACAGTTTAGGAGTTTACTCAGTAATATTATATGCTGAATTGCTGACAGTCTTCGCTCAAAATCGTTTTTCGTATACCTCAATGATTATTGAATTCAAATTTAGCACTTCCATTACACCATTACAGTTACTGTCTTAGTGTCTTGAGTATAGTCACTTGATGTACCTACAACCTAAATCAAAGCGTTTACCACTTAACCAATTTGCAAACATTAACCAGATACCCTCAAATTTAATTATCGAATCGATTTTTTCAACAACAAAAAATGTCTATAGAAACACATAAAATAAACATAAGAACTCATCGTTGAAAATCAATTGTTTCAGAATCTAAAAGTAAAATATCCATCATAAATATTAAGCTACCTAAGCCTAAGAAATGGAAATAATTTAATAATAATGAGTTGAATCTATGAGTTATGAGCACCAAATTAATACCAAAATTGCAAGGTTTTATATGTTTTTTTAAAAGATATTTAATTAAGACCACCAAAGTAATAGTTTTGACAAATTAATTTGAAAACTTTTTTTTGTCATATCAGATCTTGCTCCCTCCAACTGGCTACAGCAAATGGTTTTTCAAATTATTATGTATGGAAGAAAAGTGAATGACAGGATGGCCTTTTTAGCCTTTACCGAATAATTGAATCTTTGAATATTTTATATGATACACTAAACATCCACAATGACTTATACATTTTAAGGTAGCCTGTGAATGGTTTTCAATACATTTATGTTTAATAGTTCTAATATTATGTAACTACATCCCTATTTTTTTACATTATGTATTTCTTAAACTATTGTATTTTATGTTTCTATGAGCTTCTGTTAAACAATTCAGTTTTGAATACTCTAAGCTTTAATTTAAGCGTATATCATTACTGTTAAGTCATGTTATAACATAAAAATCATCCCAAAAATAATTAATATTCTAATGAATAATACTAAATTCACCCTAATCATGTAGTTAGTAAGCTTGATTCTGAACAGACATAATTATTAGGTAAATATACAGTATACTTAAGAGAAAGTACAATGAACTTTTTATTTTAACAAAATGTCATTTTTTGTTTATTATAACTAAAATTCACAGAAATTTTCATTAGTTGAATCAATTATAATTCTGAAATTATTTTATTATTTGCACAATATTTTCAGGTACAGTAGTCATTTTCAAATTTATATGCAAGTAAATAAGTACAAATCAATACAGTTAATCTATTAGACATGAAAGATTTTTTTTAAAAATATGTGTTTCTGTAATACATAAGTCTGTTGGTTAATGTAACGAAAGAGTAACTCCGAATGTATGCACCAAAAAATATTAAGACTGTTTGTTTGTTTTTATAGTATAAATATAATGGCAGAGATTAGACAATTGGAAAATGATAAAAAAAAAATAAATAAATATATGTATAAAAAGTAATCGAAATTACATTCAATAATTGTAGGGTAGGCTACTATTTATACATAATATTAAAATAAAATAAATCATATACATGACAAATGAAAAATTGGATTAACAATTGTACGGTTGACATAATATAAATGCTTTACAATTTCTTTTTCTTAAAATTTTTCATTTTGAAAAACAATATTTATAAATTGTCAATTCTTTTCACATTACGAAATAGAACAAAATAATTATAAACCTATTCTAAGCCTATATAAATTGTTCCGAAATCAATAAATTAAAAATTAAAATTATTCTTGATCCTTAATAAATAAATGTAAAATTAGTGGCGAAGTATATGGTATGAGATACAATTAATTTGAATTTAATCTTCATCCTCTACTTCTTCTTCTTCTTCTTCGTCATTATCTTCTGCAGATTCCTCCTTCTCTACCTTTTTTGATGGTGGTCTGCCTCGGCCTCTTCCCGATGATGGAGCCTGTAATATTAATAAATGTATTATTAAATATTTAAATGATTAGCACATATTATAAAATTTGTTTATAACTTACTTTAGCCTTCGTTTGACCTTTCTTTGGCCTTCCGCGACCTCTTTTGGCAGCTGGCTCACCATTTTCGCCTTCTTTTTCAATTTTCTTATCAGCTTTAGCTGGTACTTTGCTTGCTGGTCTGCCGCGTTTTTTAGTTTCTTTGGAGTCTTTGTCGTTTACCTACAAATTTACAATATATTTAGTTAATGATTGTCTAATACAAGTACAGATTATATAAGTCTTAACAGAACATACGTCATTCAGCTTTGGAGCTCTTCCACGATTCCTCTTCTCTGCAACAACTCCATCGTCAGACATAATGCTTATTTTTTGAATACAGGAAATGTAGTCAATATTCTGAAAAAAATATAATTAACACATCATTGAATAATAAATAGGAGGAAAGAGCAGTTTAAGAAAACAAATTAAAATTAGGTATCTGTTATTGTAAAAGTTGTCAACAGAGATAATATTTAATAGACTATCAAAATTGAAATTGAGTAGAGCTTACAAGATTGATATAAATTAGGATGATAAACCCATATTATGTTATAAGAGTTACAAACATGGTAAATTGTGTTCAGCAGAACTAATTTTGAATTTTACTCTATAATATAGTGAACTGAACAGTTATCAAACTTAAAGGTACGATTAGTTTCTATGTTAGTGAGTAGCTACATTGGTTCTTTACTATGTATTCATTTTATGTAAATCTAGCAAGCAAAATACTAAAACTTAAAAATGCTCATGCTTAATCTTTAAGGTAGGCAATGTGTATAAGTAAATACTTTTTTTTCTTATTTTATTTCAAATTTTACGTTTATATTAAATAAATCATAAATATAAAAAGGTAGATAGGCAAAGTAAATTACTAAAAAAGTGTATTAAAAAAAATGAATTGGGATTTATTCGATCTCCAACAATAAATTGTTATAACATTATTAACAAAAAAAAAAAACAGATGGGAGTTGTATAAATCTTTAAGCTGTGTAGTTTATACAATACCCGATTTTTCGGAGCGAAGTCCTTGACACCATCAGATCACCCACCTACCATTATAAACGAGTAACGACATAAACCTATAGTCAAGACTCGAGGTTAGCCTGCCGGGTTCATTGCATCTAGCGGGGAGCAGCTACTAATTACTATTTATATTATGTACTTGTCCGTTGGTAAAGGCCTAGGAACGCCGAGGAATAAATCAATAAAGCCGCCAATTTAATATACATACATGTAGGTACGTGTGGACTAAACATCTACAGACTACATTGTTTTATGACCACAATAAAACTAAACTAATAATTTTAAGCGGGTTATTAAAAACGCAGTACCATTATATATTACTTTACATTAATTTATCGGAAAAATAAAAATAAATCAAATATCTAAGAAAACAAAAAAATTGTTTCCCGATGCTAATTTCTAGAAATCGATGAATACAATACTGTACGTACGCGTCGCGTCGATCAATTAAGCTCCATCGAATTAAAAAATCAATAGACTTTGTCATTATTAACATTTTTTTTTTATTAAACCGATTGAACCGAATGACTACGAACGCTGCGTGTAAGTGATAACCCAGAAACGGAAACAAAGTAAAATATCGCCAAGTTCGATCAAAAGACGACCGCGACGTTTCGTTAAAATGAATTATACAAATATAGGACAACACAACAAGAAGGGTTCATCTAAAATAACAATATTATATAATTATTGCATTACTATATTACATTATTATATTACTTGTGTTCCAACACATTTAATTCTGATGAATCTCCCTGTGCCTCGATCGATACTCAATAAAATGTGATTGGATGGAATCGGAAAATAATTTATATCAAACGTAATAAAAACAACTACTACGACTTACAAGCCGTCGAGAGAGGAAAACACCAACGAATAGAGCCAGCAGAGGGTCGCGTTGTGAAATTTTTCGACCCTTACTCGGCGTATACATTCACCCCCACATCAACGGCGAGGGAGGAGCACATAAGGTTTTTTCGATTCCACACATTTGAGATTCTCTTCTCACCCCACCATCCACGGATATGTGAAACACGTAAGAATCGTTATATCGCACACTTGGTCATTCATCCACACTGCTTACTACAGAGGGGTGGGGGGTAATAATGTCTTTTCCCCCTTGAAAATATATTTTTTTTATAAGCGAAAACGGTCGGGTGACACTGCTGAGTGCTTGCCCATAACTGATAATCTCATGTCACTAATCATAAACTATCGAATTAGCATTATACTAACCTACTGTATAGGTTGTAAACAATTTAATGAAATAAAAGAAACAACCGAAGTGCATTAATATTTTTAGAATGAGACGTACCTCCTAATGATGAAATGTATATATTTTGTTTTCGACATGTTTATTTTAAGCTCGTAAAATCCACAATATTATATGGTGTTTACCTATTTATTAATTACATTTTATAGGTACTCTCAACACGTGCACAGTTAATCATATTATTATATTTATATTTATTTAATTGTTAACTGATATATACTATAAACTCATAAATATTACTATGACGTTTCGAGACTAGATCTCGATACAAACTATAGTTGCCTACAAACAAACATAATTGTTATTTTAAAAAATCAAAATAAGCTAAAAAAAAATGGGTGATGAAAGTAAAAGAAAAAAAATCTGAAACGGCAACGGACCCATCGTCAAAAATAAATCTCCAAGGGGGGAAAAAAACTAATTCGCCATCTCCTAATGTGGCGGACGAGGCAGGTAAGTTTAAATAAATTTCGACATCCCGCCCCCAAAAAATCAATACGCACACGTAGTCACACGGACATATTGTACTAATAAACGTTTACGGGGCGCGGGTTCCCTCCAGAAATCTGGTAGCTCGACAGCGACGGCGGCCGTTAAATTTTAAGTGCCGCCACCGCTGTCCCGACTGGATCGCGACGAACGCTCGCCGTACAGATGAAGCGGACAGGTTCGAGGATAGATCCAATTAATGAACAACCCCCCCCCCTCCCAATTGCGATCGAGGCATAAACAATAATAATAATAAAAATAACGGAGGAGAGTAAAGTTAAAAGAACGCACGGCCATTTTGATAGCTATGCGGCGGGTAGAGAAACAAAGGAAAATTGCGACACGCCAAGGAATAATAATAACAATAATGATAAATAAGAACAGCCGCCGCCCGAATCGGCGGTATTATTTCTATTTATCAGCGCGACAGCCGACAGGGAAACCGCGAAAACGGTATCACATCGGGCGCCGTCCAAATTAATAATTGTAAAATTAAAGTGCGCGCGCAATTACCGGCGGCGGTGGCGCGCACTTCGAGTGACGTCTATTGCCGCGGCAGCCGTAAAATAATAACAGCGAAATACCTACGCACGAATTTACGCAGTTTAAAATAATTTTCCTGGGCATATCATTGGGTAAAAAAAAGACCACAACGAAAAACACGAGATTGGATCGACGAGAGAGTAACTGGAAACAGAAAACAGAGCCGCGGCAATTTGGTGTAAACAAAAAAAAAACCCCCCGTAAAACATAATATTTAATTTAATTAAGAACTGTTAATAATCGTTATTCCATACGGTACCTGGAGACAGCAGCAGCGGCGGCTTCAGTGCGTCAAAGACGTACAAAAATTAATACAATTATTTGGAGCAAAACAAACAACCGGCGACGAGATGGGGAATGGACGACCTGAGAGTTGAGACGGACCAGGGAAAAGCGTATACACAATAAGGTACGCAAGGCGGCGGTTTGTGAATGGCAGTTATCCCGCCGCCGCCGCCGCCGTCGTTGTCGGCGGCGGGGTGCAGTGTCGCCACGGCCGACGCGCAAACGGTAAACCGCTCGGCGGTGACACTGCGCGACCGCGCGCGCACGTCAACGGTCTTTCTAAGCCGTACTCCACTTGAGTTTATTCTCGAGTTTACACTATTAAGTATTAACTTGTGTACGTATACAGGGTGATTCGCCAAGCATGCTCACCCCCGTTTTTCCTATGACAATGAATTTATTCAAATTCTGAATCGTGGAATTTTTAAGTATTAAGTGCCATATTTTTGATGACTTAGGTTTTTCACACCGCTTGAGGAGGAGTGTCTTGTGATGGAAATATAAATTTACTTTTCAAATGAGAACCAACCCCCCTTATTAGTGTATATCTTCTCGAAAGGTCTTACGTAGATGTACTGAACTCTATACATAGAGAGTTCAGTGCATAGATGACTGTTTTGAAAATTTTGATACTTCTAAATAAAATTGCAAACGAGCGGTTTCTGAGTTATTAGTGTGTACACCAGTTGCAGAGGATAAAAGTCCTCAAAAATTGTTTAAAAAAAATATAAAATAGATATATTACTGTATCTAGAAAATCTGAAGTAACACATTATTCTGCTAGAAAAATATTAATTCCTAAAATGTTCAAATCATTATAGATCCCAAGGAATCATTCAAACCCATTAACATGAACCAATTATTCTTATAGTTCACTAATTTAGGCAAATCAATAGCGTGAACTTGTTCAAGTTTCGACTAAGATATATAGGTAGGTACTTCAAAATTTTCAAAAAATTCATTTGATTAACAATTTACAGAAAAATGGTGATTCTCACTAAAATAATAAACATTATTGCCACGCAGAATACTCCTAAATTGATGTAAAAAAATCTGAGTACTTGAAAATATATGTCATAAGTCTTAAGCATACATATAAATTGTTTTTTAAAAGTAAAAATGGGGGTGAACATTTTTGGTGAATGATGAATCGCTCTGTATGATATTATTATTTTATTTTATTATAGGCCCCGCCATTTTGCCCATTTTCCCGCCTCGGACAGTAGCTGGCTAGTGGCTAGTAAGTTGGCGGGTGGGTTGCATCCACGGACGTATAATGTACTCTGTAGTTCTATACCTCGGTCATGGACGACGCCGCCACCGGGTGCCCGACCGGACCAAGGACAATTTATTATTTATTATATTCACGAATTGAGCCTGTGTGCGCGCGTCCCAGACAACAGCTACCCCCTCCGCAACCGTACTACTTCATCACGCCGTTTTATGTGGACATGTGGTGCGTTTCGGCGTTCGTCTGTGCAACATGGGCCTCACGCTAAATAATAATAATATATTATTATTCTATTGTTATTATTTTTTTTTCATTATTATTATTATTATTGTTATTATTATTGGGTATACGTCATTGCATATTTGCATTGCAGTTTTATTCGTGTTCGAATATGTTCTACCAAGTAGTATTATTTATCATTATTATAATAAATATAATTGTTATTTTATAATAAATAATAGACAACGCGCATATTAAATATAAACGACATTTATATAATAAATTATAATATAATTATAATATTACATTATATTTTGACGTATTGGATCTGGTCCTGGTGGCCGCGTATTTTAAAGAAGCCGCGACAATACATGTCTGTCTACAATGTATAAGCACACCAGCCTTCTTCGTGTGGGCTAGAGCGCTTCTTGTAGGTCCTTGATGGTCCTGTTCAAGAAGGTGGTAGAAACTAGAACCTCCTATTTTTAAAACAACAACCACTATCATTATGTGTGCACTTAGACTTAGGTAAGACATTCGATTTGATTTTGATTAGGACTTTCTGAAGTGTTTTCATTTAAATCATAATGGAATTAAATACATTAATGATTAATGTTATCATTCATCATTGCATCTATTATTGCATGGAAAATCGTTTGTTAACACAATAGTGTTGTTTGTTGTTGTTAGTTCAATTTCCAAATATAATATTGAAAAATGATTCAACCGTCTGTGAACGAAATAGATAAGTTCATGGATAGGTTTTCGTTAAAATAAAATCCTAACATTGTAACATTAATATTACAATTTTAAAAATTCGGCAAGTCTCTCTGCTGAATACTAATAATATACTAAACAGTAGGTTTCGGCTGTGAGTTACCCAACTATCGGTAATTTTTATTCTTCGCAAAATCGATCAATTTGTTATAATGCCAATCAGTTTATGTGTATATATATTATCACTATACCTCCTATACCTATTATACCTTAATATTAATCATAAATAAACTTTATTCGAGGTTATTTATAAAAAGCATAATTTAATTAATTATTATCTATGGTAATAATGTAGTATCTACAGTCATACCTATATTATTATATTATTAGAAAATAATGTAGACACGTAGATCTTAATATCTGCAGGTATACTTTTTCTTAAGTTTGTATAGTTTTTGCCTTTTGGAAAATGAATTTTTAAAAGTATGTATAACAATAATACTTTATTTATATTTTATTATCAAATTGATCTTTGTCCATTCTGAAGGTGTTGGTTTAAAGATCTAGGTGTTGTTCAAGTTTAAACTGTTTGAAGTTTAACACATAATTGTTTTAATTCTCTATATCAGATCACGCAGTTTTGTTCATAAAATGGCCTCAAATTCAAGTTTTTTTAAATTTCTACTTATTCATTATAGATATAGAATTATAGACTATTAAAAATATGTACAATTTTAAAATTGTTTGAAAGTATTGTACCTAGGCCCCCTTTTCGAACCTTTATATTATAGTGAGCTATTATTAAAAGACAATTATAATTATTAGAAAACAGGTAGGTACACTTAACAGTTAATACTGATACCACTCAGCGCAGATCTAAAGGGGCGGGGGCTAAGGAGCTTCCATCCCTTTGATAATGTTATGTATTATGCATTGATTTGTATAATAAATAGTGTATACACCTCAAAACCCATTAATTTAAAATATAAATAACAATGTTAATACTGTTACTTATCAAATCTATATTCTGTAGAATCTATTGATTATTATATCATCCATATATGTACTAAAATATTATAATTGTATTTTTTCTGAAAAAATGTCTTCTAAAAAAAAGACTCCTAGATCGGCATCTTTTAAGTACAGTAAACGCCGCTTATATCACTCACATATTGGAACCAACACTACAAGTGAGTCTTATTACCAATTGAATCTTATAGGCGAAGTGGGAAAAAAATACGAACATATAAATAAATTACCTATTAATTTTACTTTGCTACTTTTACATATTATTAAATAAATACAGTACATAAATATACAACAATAATTGCGATCAATTTGAAATGCGATACAATTTGTTGTACATACCTATATAATTTATGCTTTAGTTGCTAGTTTTGTGTAATTACAATACTTTTGCATAAGATATAAGTGTGCCCAAAACATTTCCAAAGAAGTTGCAATAAACATTTGCTTGGGTTTGGGACCACAAGTAAGCTCAATTAACTGATATTCTATGTTAGTAGAGTAGTAGACATGTAAACTCCCATTGTATTTTCTGTAAATAATGGCTGTTTAATCCATTTATAACTTATTCGAATTCGTTAATAATAATTTATTGTACTACTGTAGTACTGTATAAAAACATCAAAATATGGATATTACATTTTTGTCAAATGGCTAGCAATAAAAGAAGCTATTTTTATTTACCTAATTTTCTATTATTATCTATACTTATACTTTATAGTCAGTCTATATTCTATGATATTATAATATGAACCATTGGTTTTCAAGGGCTTGGGTGTTGGACGGCTTGCGCATTGGGTAAACTAAATATAGCTATATCACAGACAGCAGACACACTATGTTGACCAGTTATATAGAATTTGTTTATTGCTTTATGTTCTGCAATATACGATACATTTACTGTTTACATAACTAAGTGTACACTTTTAAGAAAGTTACGAGTAAGTAAAATATTGCAATTTAAAAATCGTCATATTCGCTTAAAAATTGGTCTCACCTATGTATTTAAATTTGATAATATTTCAAAAGCCAATTAATCACCATATATTCAGTTATATATACGGTTAACAGCACAAAATAGGTTGTACTGAACGCAAATTTCAAATTTGCTAAGTTGTTCATCAATATGACGTATTTTGTCAAGTAGACAACACATAGATATGGGTGGAGTATGCGACATATCCAGATCCTCATAAGCGGCTTAAAATTGAAATATAATATGAACATTTTCATTAATTAATAATTTACACCAATAACATATATAGGTACCCAGGTCCCAAGTATCAAACTAATTATTAATGGAAAAATAAACATAATACTCACATGAGTTATGAATGTTATGATTAATATCGTTTTAAAAAACAATTAAATTCCAAAAACAAATGTGTTTGGAAAATTAGTTATTTTGTTATCAAAATACGAAATAAATAAAGTAATATTTTTGAGTGCGACCTTCTAATACAGAATCTATTTTAGAACCTAATGCATAGTTGGTTGATGCTACATTGCTACATGAGGGGGCTCTGGGTTCTGGATCAACACTCACACTTTCAAAATCCTGGGTACGACACTTTGTGAGAATAACTTACGAAGAATCTTGTACTACATTTTCAAGCTTTAGCTATTAAAATTAAAAATTCAATATATTTTAAACTTCAAAATAATATTCAAATGTTCATTACTTATTTCAACGAATTTTGTCATAACTTAAACTTCAAACGATTATAAAAAAAACTATGCCTATAATATGTATTTTTGTTGTTTTTAAATCGGTTTAATAAGTACAACTTATGAGCATTTTGAAACGTTTCGACCTAGAATGTACCTACAAAAGACGTTTATTTAAATATTTGATAAACATTTCAACGGTTATATAATATTATGTTTTCCGTAATTTTTTTTTATTTTCCTGATTACTAAGAAATGTCATAGATTTGTTTACTTTTGACACCTGT